ACATCCGGCTCTAAAATTGCCGATGCTTTAGAGAACTCCATTTCGAGTGTGTTAATTTCCATGTTTAAGTGTTCAATTTTTACGGGCCTCTTCACTTGGCTGGTACATACAGTGTTTGGCGCTCGCATAGTCTTTCTACCATCGGCGCTGGCAGCGATTTTGTCTGCTGCACCATTTTTGGGCAGCTACTGGTGTTCATTGCCTGCCTTGTTGGAGTTATGGCTGGCTCAAGATCGCTTCTATGCTGGAATCGTGCTATTCCTATTGCAATTCTTCGTGCCACCGTATTTTGAGGCAGCCATCTATGCAGAAATGAAGGGGTTAGTTTGTAGATGTATGCTTCGATTTAGAACAAGGGATTAATTTAATTTGTTTGCCATACATATACTTAATTAGCGGTGGACATCCTTATTTGACTGGTTTGGCTATTGCGGGCGGCATGTATTGGATTGGTTGGCAGGGCGCCATCTTTGGTCCATTAATGTTATGCTTCTTCATAGGAATATTTGAGGTTGCAGCTGTAGCTATGCGCGCCAATGATGATCCAAGGTAAGCAAATAATTAAAATTTTCATTAGATAATGCCTTTAATGAGCCAGTCTGTTAATTTGGTTTTTAGACGAAGCTCTGAAGAAGACACCCGAGCGACGTGAGTTGCTTATGAAATGCATTGACACACGCCAAATGACATGAACATTCAACGCAAATAACAATACATCGCGATTATGTATTTCTCCTAACGCCAAACAAGCTGCTAATACGCTTCATTCTTGTTAATATGCTTTACATTTACATGGCTAACTCATGAGACTTGTTTGCTTTAAGTTTTAACAACAGTTTTTAAATTCCAACAAGTAAAATGGTTTGAAATTAACATGCCATCAACGCTAAGTTCTGAACGGAATGAGAGGGGTTTACTAAATAAGAATTTAAAACCGGTTGCTCTACTTCAATCCATTTATTTTTGTAAAGAATTTTCTAAATTTTATTTCTTTGTAATTTTACCGCTATATTCCTTCGTTGTATTTTCAGCTTACGCAGACATTCTTTTTATGACTACTAACCTTTTAAGTAGCGCAGCGAATTTCGCGTATACATAATAGCAGCAAATATGGGTGTAGAATCTGACTCAATTGGGGGAAAAATCTGTTATGAATTTCCAATCCGCGACTTAATATAAAAAAAATTGGTGTAACTACCTCGAATACTTTTTTTACAAAAAGTAAATCTTAATGTGTTAAATTTTATGTACCTAACTACTACATAAATGTACGTAAGCTAACAGATGAATCAAAATAATTANTGCCTTGTTGGAGTTATGGCTGGCTCAAGATCGCTTCTATGCTGGAATCGTGCTATTCCTATTGCAATTCTTCGTGCCACCGTATTTTGAGGCAGCCATCTATGCAGAAATGAAGGGGTTAGTTTGTAGATGTATGCTTCGATTTAGAACAAGGGATTAATTTAATTTGTTTGCCATACATATACTTAATTAGCGGTGGACATCCTTATTTGACTGGTTTGGCTATTGCGGGCGGCATGTATTGGATTGGTTGGCAGGGCGCCATCTTTGGTCCATTAATGTTATGCTTCTTCATAGGAATATTTGAGGTTGCAGCTGTAGCTATGCGCGCCAATGATGATCCAAGGTAAGCAAATAATTAAAATTTTCATTAGATAATGCCTTTAATGAGCCAGTCTGTTAATTTGGTTTTTAGACGAAGCTCTGAAGAAGACACCCGAGCGACGTGAGTTGCTTATGAAATGCATTGACACACGCCAAATGACATGAACATTCAACGCAAATAACAATACATCGCGATTATGTATTTCTCCTAACGCCAAACAAGCTGCTAATACGCTTCATTCTTGTTAATATGCTTTACATTTACATGGCTAACTCATGAGACTTGTTTGCTTTAAGTTTTAACAACAGTTTTTAAATTCCAACAAGTAAAATGGTTTGAAATTAACATGCCATCAACGCTAAGTTCTGAACGGAATGAGAGGGGTTTACTAAATAAGAATTTAAAACCGGTTGCTCTACTTCAATCCATTTATTTTTGTAAAGAATTTTCTAAATTTTATTTCTTTGTAATTTTACCGCTATATTCCTTCGTTGTATTTTCAGCTTACGCAGACATTCTTTTTATGACTACTAACCTTTTAAGTAGCGCAGCGAATTTCGCGTATACATAATAGCAGCAAATATGGGTGTAGAATCTGACTCAATTGGGGGAAAAATCTGTTATGAATTTCCAATCCGCGACTTAATATAAAAAAAATTGGTGTAACTACCTCGAATACTTTTTTTACAAAAAGTAAATCTTAATGTGTTAAATTTTATGTACCTAACTACTACATAAATGTACGTAAGCTAACAGATGAATCAAAATATTAAAAGCATTGCATTCCAATTAATGAACAAAATTATTAATTGTTGTATAGTTATAAAAGAAAAATTATAATCATTTGTAAAACATATTCTGAAGTAATGACTAATTCTTGTGCTTAACGAATTTATATCCGCCCATTACCCAAACAAGTGATAGTCAAATGAATTTTTTGTAATGCATTTTTTAAAAAACCCCTTTTTAGAAGCTTGAAATTAATTTTAATATTTACGAATTTTATTTAGCCAGGAGCGAACATTTTTAAATAAGTTTTGAAAACCCAACAAACCCTGCAAATGACTTTTCCAGTAAATATTATCCAAAAACTAAGTTTCTGGAAATTTTACCACTTTCGCTCTGCAAAAAAAGTACGAAAACTCAATACTTCCAAGATGTTGCAAGTTGTTTTAAGAAATATTATTCAAATACATACATATAGTGCCTATCCGAACTATACCACACCGACATATTTTCGAGTTTTGACTACTATTTATGTTATTATATTCATATTTTATATTTTTTTTACTCCATATACAAAAATTGTCGGAACATAGATAGTTCGTATAGTAAATGCGTGACTCTTTACGCTTGTACTTTATTATACTAGANTCTTGTGCTTAACGAATTTATATCCGCCCATTACCCAAACAAGTGATAGTGAAATGAATTTTTTGTAATGCATTTTTTAAAAAACTAAAATAACTTAAAAAACCCCCTTTTTAGAAGCTTGAAATTCATTTTAATATTTACGAATTTTATTTAGTCAGGGGCGAAGATTTTTAAATAAGTTTTGAAAATCCAACAAACCCTGCAAATGTACTTTTCCAGTAAATATTATCCAAAAACTAAGTTTCTGGAAATTTTACCACTTTCGCTCTGCAAAAAAGTACGAAAACACAATACTTCCATGATGTTGCAAGTTGTTTTAAGAAATCTTATTCAAATACATGCATATAGTGCCTATCAGAACTATACCACACCGACATATTTACGAGTTTTGACTATTTATGTTATTATATTTATATTTTATATTTTTTTTACTCCTCCATATACAAAAATTGTTGGAACATAGATAGTTCGTATAGTAAATGCGTGACTCTTTAAGCTTGTACTTTATTATACTAGTATGTGTTGAAACTTGGATTTATGTAGGTATGGATATAGTTTTTGTTATAGAACGAGCTACATTTAAAATAAAATAATTAAAATTAAATAAATATGTAGGAGTCGCATAGTTATGATACGCACTATAGTTTCGTGTGGCCTATTTTAACTTAAAATTACACAAAAGTTCCTTCATTGACTATTAACTGCATGTAGACATAGTTTTTCTCATTGGCAAATTGTTATAAGTAAAAACTTGCAGCTTCCACTCAAAATTAATTATCATTAGGAGGTTTTCTACAANTATAGAACGAGCTACATTTAAAATAAAATAATTAAAATTAAATAAATATGCAGGAGTCGCATAGTTATGATACGCACTACAGTTTCGTGTGGTATATTTTAACTTAAAAATTACACAAAAAGTTCCTTCATTGACTATTAACTGCATGTAGACATAGTTTTTCTCACTGGCAAATTGTTATAAGTAAAAACTTGCAGCTTCCACTCAAAATTAATTATCATTAGGAGGTTTTCTACACGTTTTGTACACGAAAACATATTTCTTAGTTTATATACATATGAGGGAATTCTAATAGCAGCCATCAGCCACCTTCTTTTTAAGGACTACTGGCTTCTGGTGAAGCTCGACATAAACTTAGGAAGTGATCACCAATATTTAGAACTGAGAAAGAATATTCNAACATATTTCTTAGTTTATATACATATGAGGGAATTCTAATAGCAGCCATTAGCCACCTTCTTTTTAAGGACTACATAAACTTAGTGAGTGATCACCAATATTTAGAACTGAGAAAGAATATTACAAATGCCGCTCTGTTTAAAATATCGAATTATTTATTGCTTAAAATTTGCAATATAATACTATGAATAGTATTTTTAATTTAATATTTTTGTATGACTACTAATAAATTAAAACGAATTTATAACTCGTCCAATAACCTTTATTTTCTTAAAATATCCATTCATCATTAAGAATTATAATTAGGGTTGGACTTCGCCGGTTAGATCACAATTCCGACTATCTTCTCCAATTCAACTGCAACGGACTCCAAGGTAAGATCTCAGAGGTAGCTTACTTTATGAATCGGCATGGCCGAAAGTTAGCTGCGGTTTACCTCGCACTTCGTCATAGTCCGTCGGTGGAACATCGAATCCGTCATCATCGACTGGGGACTCGAGTTTAACTTGCTGCAGTAGCCAGAGCGAAGTAGGGCTATTGTAGTTCGAGTCTCTTGAGGCAGACGAATCTCTATCTCGCCCACGTCAGGTGGTTGTGTTCCCAAAAGGGCATTCACAGGTCGAGAGTCAGTGTAGGTCAATACTGATGTCCCGTGAATGACGTTTATGGCTTGTCGGCATGCTGTCTGGACTTCGTCCGTAAGTTAGTATAGAAGCCTTCTGACGTGCCTTGGCGAGGGCTTCGGGTGCCCACGTTGGTAACACCCTACTAGGAATTCCTTGCCACCTGTCGCTGTCCGGGGTGCCTTGTTTTTGGCAGGTCTGTAGCTTCGTCCACTGCATCCTACCAGTCCCTGGCTACCATAAAGGCGTTGCATAGTTTGGGACCGGCTGGCCACATGCCTTGTATGTTGCCAGCAACGTTGCTTTGTCTTTGCCCCACTTGCTGACGACTAGCGACTTGAGGGCTGTTACGGCTATGTACTTTATTGACATTTGCGGTTGTGTTCTCCTACAAGAAGATGGACCTCCTTCGTCCAGGTGGTAAAAAGGGTTGCCGAGGATCGCGTAAGGGAGAGGGTTAGGCTCCTTGCAGTGAAACAGCGAGAAAGTCCGGAGAGGTTACCGTTTACTTTCGAGCACAAGCCATCAATTTAATTCACAGACGCCATTATCGAGCAGTCAATCGAGACTCCCTGTGGTGGTTGGGGGAGCTTTGAGATATTGTAGTTAGATAGTAGCGGGGAGAGGACACGACCCTGTGAGACCTCCTATTTAATTTTTCTTGGCTTGCTAATTATGTCTCTAAAAACTACTGACGAATGTCGAGCACTCTGGAGATAGCCACGCAGCTTGATGGAGCTAAGTCGATCAGCCTCAGTCCGTTATCAGACGTTTCGTCCTGGAGGCTGAATTTTCCGACAGTAGCACATGATACCCCCTTCTTTGTGACTATTGTGTGTGCAAATTGTGACTAGACGGTGAACGGCAGTACTTGGCGACGGAGTCTCTCTCTTTCTTGGATCGCGGCGATGTCACCTTCCTAATTAAGGGTCCGGACATTCCAGGTGCATGCCTTCAAATCGTAGCCCTTTAAACGTTTGCCGTGGTCTTTATCTAACCTGACGAAGTATAATGACTGAGGTGTCTTATCACATTCGGTGTGTGTACAATGCTGAGTCCAAAGAAGTGTGGTGCGAGCTTTTTAGCCGAAGTTGCACATTCCAATCTTCGGCGGACAAGGCCAAACGTGGCTGCGCAAACTAAAAAACACAGCTCTGAAGTTCGGGAGGTCATCGGGAAGACTTTAAAGTCATTGTTCCTATCGCTCGTAACATAAGTAATATCTGAAATATGGAAAATAGCGGAATCTGCCAACCTAAGCGAATCATATCGCCAGATGTCTCTCCTTTCCCCAATAGTGAAGACTGTTGCGGCTTGGTTGCCCATCATTTGCACACCATCTGACTCCAGAAATAAATCAGTAAATGTAATGGGTACTACCACCACGGCCCTTAATGCCATCAACAATTTAATAAATTGTGGCTTTAACCAAAGCCGCCGCTATCAAAGGACGGCTTTAGTAGCAGTGAACTTGTCGACGGCTTTCAACACAGCATTATTTGAAGAGGTGAAAGCGTTGGCCTGCGATTCATTTGAGAAGTGAAGAGCAGAATGAAACAGAGGTGCCTCCCAGCTGGTGTTTAGTTTCTATATATATTGTATATGTATGTATATAAACACTCTCCTCCACCTGAGGATACTTCGATGGTCTCATACGTCGACGAATGTTCCACTTCTGCGTTGAGCAATGATGTTGAGGACTTGAGTTTTAAAGCAAATGGTTATCTCTCAGAATAACAACAAAATTTACAGTCTGCCACAATAAGAACTTCCACAGAATGTCGTCTGAGTTTCACTTACCCAGCCAGATCCGAATTCTTTCATAATACTGAGTAAGCAGCTTCTGGTGGAATGCTACCAAAGGTACCACAACTACAGCCACTTACTTGAAGCTGAGTTTCCTTCAAGTCGTATCACAAGCCTTCTAATGGATCTCAAAGACCAGATTCAGCTATAAGTATGCAGACAGGACTTACACTGCATTCATCAAAGGTTAACACCTTCGGAAACTCTGGCTCCGTGAGTGCCGTCATGGGAGACCAAAGTCGAACTACCACTCAGATGCAGATTCCTACTTATCCAAAATTGTTCCTAACACACCCAACCTATGTCCAATAGGTGAAAACATTCCGGAGGATACTAACCACTTCCACAACCAACTCTAGCCAATTCATTTAAAACGTCTCTTCTACGGTCCATCCTTGCCCATACGTCTCGTTTCCGGGACCCACCGTTAGATGAGATTGAGTAGGTCTTATTAAAATTACCGAACATTTTGCTAGATCCATTTTTCCAATAGTTAGGTCCAGTTAAAATTTTTCAAGGGTCTTCCTGTTGTTCTTAAACTACGTCTTGAGCGGTGCCCAAGTCGGGTCTTAATATAAGTTAAACTAATATTTTGCTGCATTCTTGCCGTTGTTTTAACCTCTTTGCATCTGTTCCTGCGACTATAAGCAAAAATGTACTGAATTCTAATACATACATATATTTAAGTGTTGTTAATGTATTTAGCAGTAGCAGCGTAGATGTGTCCGCTATAGAAAGTGTGCTAGTTAAAGAAGTTAATGAAACGCATCTGAAGCCGCCGCAAGAGGTGACTGCGATCGAGGAGGTGCCGATAATCGATGCCATAAAGAAACATGGAAACAATGAAAATGATAGACAAATAATGTACAAACCTATCCAGCAAACCAGCCATGCGAACGACTTGAGCCCGACTAAGCCTCGGGCTGTAGAGCTTAAGATAATTAAGAAAACATTACTGCCTGTAGCAGAAGCGAGTAACTAATGTGTATATTTCTAAAACTACTTGCATAAATATGGTGAATATAAATTTAATATAACATTGCTAAGATAAATTGATAAATATTAAACATCAGATGTGTTCTAACTTTGAATTCAAAATTTAAAAGGGGAATTCCGGATGCTTTTCAACGCTGCAAAGAAAAATGGAAAATAATAGTGTATATAAAGGAATATCGCATGGTTTTAACAATTCTTTAGTCTACATTCCAATACTTACCCTTTGAAGAATGCGAAATCCACCACACGCACATTGGCATCCAATTTATTGAGCTGTTCAATTTCCTCTGGACTTAGTTTAAAGTCAAAGATATCTTTGTTCTCTCGCATGCGTTTGGAATTGGTGCTTTTCGGTATGACCGATAAGCCTTTCTCCACAATCCACCGTAGCAAAACTTGTGCTGCACTCTTATGATATTTCTTGGCGATCTGCTTCACTTCCGGCACCTCAAGTAAGTCGGGTAACTCACGTTCTACACCAACCATCTTATTTAAAGCGCCTACACCTTTGGAACCTAGTGGTGAATAGGCGGTGACGGCTATGTCCGAAGCTTTGCAATACTCAATCAACTCTGGTTGTTGCAAGTAGATGTGGTATTCAATCTGCAATGGTTCAAAGTAGTGGATGTGTATATGAGCAAAAAAACGCTAAATCATTCTTTTTGCATTTACTTCAATCAATGGAGTTCCAGAATAAGTTCAGTAAAAAATAAATCGAGCTTTTAAACACTTCTACCCTTAAAATGTTTATTTAGGTGAAAAAGTATCTCATTAAGTCTCATTATTCAAAAAACTGCATACCCAACTTTTTTCTAAAGAGTGTAAATAAAAAGTGCAACATTTGAATGAAAATTTGCACAATTTTCTTTAATTTTGCACAAGATTTGGAATTATGATTTTTGGGGTTTCTGTTGTAGAATTAACCATATTTTTATAAAAAGTTAGCCAAAAAAAAAATATTTAATAAAGAGTGGCCCGTATTGCAAAAAATTCTCTGTACCTAAACTTTATTGATTGACTGTATATACATAAGTACGTACCTGTAAAACTTGCGGTTGAATGGTGCAATGTTTTCGTAGCCTTTCAATTTGCTGCAGATTGAAATTCGATATTCCAATTGATTTGGCCAACCCTTTGGCAAGTAGACCTTCCATTTCCTATAATTATATAATTATGGAAAACACGCTCTTGTACTTCTATAACTAGTTGCGAGCAACTCACCTTCCAAATAGCTGCGTGATCGGTGCTCGGATCGACCATAATAGTGCCATCTTCATAGCGTTTAAATTCGCCATTTTCATCGAGCATTACCGTAAATGGCGTATGTATCAAATACAAATCGACATAATCCAATTGCAGATCTGCCAAGGATTTGCGCAAAGTCGACTCTACTAGATCGGGTTTATTGCCTGAGAGACGAGAAAAGTACAAATTCTACATAAAAGTTTTGTCGTTTTTTTTTCAAGTAGTTTTTCAGAACAAAATTTGTGTTCAGAATGCAGATCAATTTTGAAACCTACTTGATAAAAATGTTCTTGAAATATAAGAAGAAAAATTGGTTAAAGATTCCACAAGCAAAAGTACAAGGTCAAGCGCCCGAAGAAAATATTTACATAGGTGGATACATATGTATGTATTTATATACAGATAACTAACAACTTGTTAGAGATCAAATCGAAGCACGATCGCGAGCAGTAAATCGGCCAAAGATTAAAAACGCATATCCAGTTTACCGACTGAGCGTGTAAAATTTGCATTTAAGAAATAACTTGTTGTATGAAATTCACAAAGGCCCTAACCAACATTTTTTTTTATTTTACAGGAAAAGCAAAAAACTAATCATGCATATGGGGCTCCCATACCAAAAATTTGAAAAAAAAACACNAAAACTAATCATGCATATGGGGCTCCCATACCAAAAATTTGAAAAAAAAAACACCCGTACATACATCAGAATTCTCTATAAAAAGAAATATTAAAAAAAAAATTGATTGAAAAATTTTTCACATACAATTTTTTGATAAAAAAATAGTTTTTTAAAATATACCATCTCAAAAAAAAATTTTAAAAAATCACAATGGTAGCTCTGAGTATTGCGCAATTTGCACGTTGGTGCACTCTACAATAATTTGAGTTTTGAATTTTTTTTTACACCGAACTTGAATAAAATGAGTGCATTACAAATTTAAAATTTTTTTTTAATTTTTGTAGAATTTTTTTCATATTTTTTCCTCGTACCGTTCTCGAGATATTTGGAGAACTATTAAATCGATTTGTTTTTGTTCTGTTAGGTTTTTAAAAATATATTATTTATGTTTATACATCGACCCTAAAATTTTGAAACAAATCAAACACATGAAGTGGGAATCCCGTCCGTTTTGGTATGGAACGCCCCATATATGTATACGTATAGGGCGTTTTAAAAAGTGGCATAACACCGTTGTTTTTTAGTACTGACACTTTCAAATTTTTAGTGAAGGTGTATTTTAAATATATGCTACCAAAAATCTGTGAAAAACCCAGTTTCGAAAAAAAGTGGTGGTTAGGGCCTTCGTGAATTACGGTGACGATATGTTAAGTGTTTAAAGTGTTCCGTTTATGGTACAACTCCACAACGAGCTTCGAAGCATTTAGAGCTTTATTCCGCTATAAATTGCATATAAAAGCGCCGTAGCGTGTTTATGAGAAGCATTACTTTAAGAATGAAGTCAATTACCTGGTGGTGGCAACTTAGTGGTCACGAATAGAGATGATCGCTTAACTTTACCAGCAGATAACCACTCCTGTAGAACGTTTCCAATAGCCTTTTCATTCAAATACACAGGTGCAGTGTCAATATGGCGGTAACCTATCTCGAGAGCTTCATTTACAGCAACGGTTATTTCTTCCTCGCTTGCCTGTGAAATAACAACAAAAAAAATAAATAGTATGTTTATGCTTGCCATAAGATACAAAGTTTAAAGAATTTCTCTTTAATGCACAAAACTGGCGGAACTTCGGAAAGAAGATGGGCAAGGACAAAGTTTTTCAATCTCGTGTCAAACCGACTTGTGGTGAGGCGATTACACAGCCCGCATATACAATTTTGTATTCTATGCGATGACATATAGAATTCAACACCATTTTTTTTTCAAGTAAAAATTTTCTCTGGTCACTTCGAGAGCTTATATGTAGGTAAAATTGTACAGAAAAATTGAATCATATGAAAAGTGTCTGCGGGTTTTTGGGTGAACTTTTGAAAAAAAAGGTTTTTGTTGCAAATAAATTTTAATAAAGGACATATTAGCCATTATTTCTGTGATCTTTTGACATTTTCGAGTAGCTTCATAGTTCTATCGGTGCACATAGGGGTATTTGAACGATTTAGGCGGCCATAAACGAATTTGGCAAAATTTTGAAGTTAACTAAAAAAATTTGTCACATTCGATAGAGAACATTCCAAATGGCAATTCCCAGTCCCCCTCCATTTTGTAACTTGCACAGCGAACGCTCACCGTTAACCGGAAACAGAATATACTAATGCTGCTTTGATTTTTTTAAGCCGGTGGCAACCCTGGCAGGCTCCTTAGAGATAAATCCCTTTTAAACCCATTTCCAATGATACCCATATTGCAGCAATTCATTTAACTAATTGAACAAAAATGTTTAACAGGTGGCAACTCTATGGAGTCTATCGATGTCAAACGTTAAGCAAATTGATTTACTTTGGTTTGATGGAATAACTGGAAGTACTCCCATTCAAACTTTATCATGGAAAATGTTACTCATACGCCATGTATGTATGAGTACGGTCATGTACGATATGGCCTATGAGTAAAATTATTTCCTGCTCCTATGTATTTCATACAAAAAATTGTTGCCCCTTCACTTGTTTATTTATCCATCGGTTGTCATCGTTAGTGTTAGTGTTTTAAGGCGCCGCAAAGCAAGCAGATATTGGCTAGGCTTACTAATATATATTTTGTACCCATACTGTAATATTTCATTTATTTTGTGAATTCAATTGCGTTAAATTTGCAACCAGGTGGCAACCCTCTTCGAAAATATTTTTAACCGTAAGCCTTCTTAAAACTCTCTAGTTTGACACCCATATTGCAATATTTCCTTTATTTGATAAATTTAACTGAGATAATTTTTCAAATAGGTGGCAGCACTCATCCAGAACATCTCGAATGGTTATATTTCTTAAACTTCTTGAATTTAATACAAACATTGCTATATTTCATTAATTTTATCGATTTAATAATTTTTTAAGTTTAATATTTTCAAGCAGTTGGCAACCCTCCAAATTTTTGTGCCATGCATCCTGATATTATACCTGCTGCAGGCTGTATCGGAGACACAGCCGCTAAATTTAAACGTAGAATACGTGGTATGGTTAAGAGCACATCCAAGTCAAAAACGAAAGCTCACACTAAGAAAAAAATATCGATAACGAAAGCGATAATAATATCGATAGCAAAATCGATAACAAAACATCGATAACAGAATCGATAAAAATATCAATAACAAAATCGATAATAATATTAATAACAAAATCTATAAAAAAATCTATTACAAAATCAGTAACAAAATCGATTAAAATATCGATAACAAAAGCGATAGTAATATCGATAGCAAAATCGATAACAGAATCGATAAAAATGTCGATAACAAAATTTATTAAAATATCGATAACAAAATCGACTACAAAATCTATAAAAAATCTATTAAAAAATCGATTAAAATATCGATAACCAAAATCGATAAAAAATGTCGATTATTATATCGATAAGTTCCGAAAATATCGATAGCAAAATCAATAATAAAATCGATACAGTATCGAAAATATCGAATACAAAATCTATAAAAATAATCTATTACAAAATCGATAACAAAATCGAATAAAATATTGATAACAAAATCGATGAAAAATATCGTTTATTATATCGATAAGTTCCGAAAATAACGATAGCAAAATCAATAACAATATCGATAGAAATTTCGACAACAAAATTGATAAAACA